ACTGAGGTATGAGATCACAAAACTCACAAACACTCAATCAAAACCGGAGGAACAACAGGTCTTCAATAAAACACCATGGCCCATCCAGTATAAAAAGGCCATTTGAAACCATATCTAATAGAAAATACTGTATACCGTAAACATCTGCCTTTTCAACGTCTGAAGGCCAATTGCCTTCATACGAAAAAGTTCAAAATGTGTATCATGTTATTAACAGTTTATTGAAATCGAGCATCCTATGATATAAAAAACATCATTGATATAAATATCACACACACACTTACTCACTCACGTGCCTCCAGGCCACGCACACACACACGCACACAAACACACACACACACACACACACACATCAATAAATAAAATGTCAATTTCAAAAAGGCACAATGCAATGGAGAAATTGGTATTAGGCTAATATATAATTTTGCTAAGTAAAAATGCCCGATAAGCTATAGTAAATTAATTTGTGGGGATTTGCAATTCATTATTAAACAGTCGATTTCCATATGTTCCCTCTAATCCACTGGGAATAGGGGCCAGTAATTTCACTGAAGCCCAAAGAAAAAGTCATTTAATTAACGTATGAGCTAGCCTACGCTATATGAAAACCAGACATATACGAAGACCTTCATTCACGGATATGATCATGCACACTTGAAGAGAGACATCGTTAACGTCGCTTGAAACCAAGATCAATCAATACTGAAGGACTGGGTCTGTGCACCTGCAATTTTCAACGGTGTTCAAATACAAGTTAAAACAAGCGACGTGGATGGAGACAAATACAAAGGATATCTACCCAAATTTGTTTGCATCTCTCTATCATTGAAAACTATCAATAAACATTTAAAAACAATGTATCAATTCATGGGGGGAGATGAGGCATATGTTGACAGTAAAGCATAGGCTAGAAATGTTTTATTTCGTTTAGTGGCCAAATATTAATTCGATTATCAATCGTTGAAATAGGCAACTTTTGGTTGGATTTCTAAACGAAATATAATCGAAAATACAACATAACCAAATTTAAGTGGGCTAGCTGCAAAATGGAAATTTCATGCAAAATCGAAAACTGAACAAAAATAAAATAGCGAAATCAGACGGGTTTATTCAGGATTGTTGGAGCATCGCCATGTATTTTTATTTAGTAGTAAACCGTGGAGGGGAGTGATCAGTAAAACAACAACGCATTATCGGTTATTACGCATAGGCTTATCTATTGAGCAGAATATGGGCTGTCAGCGAGAATAGGCCTAAGTAGTTAAATACTTGCCTACCGTAAGAGCTAAAGCCTAATACAAGGCTAGACGATGGTGAATACCTACAGTAACGTGTGAAATTTAATTAGCCTGCAGTGTTCACAAGACGCAACTGAGGTTACAAAGGTCGCGGCTGGATGGATAACGTGTGATGCTGGACCTAAACAAATTGAATGAGCTCCGCTTCAGCTATACATCCTTATAAGCCTTACGTGTGCACTACGTTTAATGCATAAGGCATTGAGAACACTACCCATAGGCCCTACACGAGAGCTTCCTGGCAACACATCCAGTGATGCGGTGATGATGTGTGTGCCAAACTGAAATAAGCGCACACCAGCCTCCTGCGTCATGGGTTGTAACCACAGAGGTGACATGAGACGAGAGGTGGACACCTGTAGGGACCCAGGCCCGCGCGCACACTGGCCTTTCTCCAGCCGCCACCACAACTGGAGAATGTCCTGGTTTGAGGCGCTCGAGAGGAGGATATAGCCCATACAGAAACACCAACTTTTGAGAAACTATTCGTTCAAACTAGCAATGGAAAAACATAACTTTTTGGTGTCAGCTCATATTTTTGTTGGAGTGATGCCAGTCATTAATGATTGAAATGATGCATACAGATTGGACTGAGACACATCTAACTCTTCCTGGAAATCAAACATGAGAGACAAGTGATGTTTTGGCCTGATTCATTATCTCAAATGTACTCTATTTCAAGTCTGTTCGTTTTATTTCAATGGCCAGGCTCCCGTGTTTGAGGGCTACTGGACGTTCAACCGTTACAAAAAACTACATTTAATTCATGCAAATGTTCATCGTTTCACAACGGGCATTTAGGGAAATTCATTAACGCTTTGTTTGGTTTTGTCACGTGACTTTTGCAGGGCCACACTTGAACACAACCTTCCCACTTTACCAGCAGCTAATTCTTCTCCCAAACATGTATTTAGGCGCTTTTTATCAGGAAAATGCACCAAAAAAGACTCCATAGACCTACGAAGACTTCAGTCAATTTTGAGGGCCTTTATGTGCATAATGCCATATTGAAAGTGTTAAAACTATTGTGCAATAGGTTAACGAGTATAGGCGTATAAAGTGTATCTGTTACTACATTTTACTGATACAATCGTATAGCCTAAAATAATATTATTCCCCAGTCCCTTTATAAAAGTCATTATTATCATTTTCAATTGATCATTGGTGCTTATTTATCTAGTACGGAAATAGGCAACAATTTTGAAGATTAGTTTAGCATATACCTTTTTCTACAGAGATTGACAAAAGCACAAACTCGGAAATGTTCAAGTAATTATAGGCTATAGAAATAATCAAATGTAAATCACATGATATTAAACGTCCATGTAGCCTATTGCTTATAATCACACTATACATTTTGCAATGTTTCTGAATTTTCCAGAAAAAAAGGAAGAATAATTTATTTTAAATTGTCAATGTAAACCTACTTGACCAAATATCTAACGGTGCTAATAGTAATAAATAATGATTTGCTTATATGGAAATACATTTTAAAAACCTGTGGATAAAAGTTTAATTAGCTTGTTGACATTATACAATATTGCTTCTTAACAACATAACTGTTTTGATATCTTCAGCGTCAAAGTGCAGACGATTAACCGATTATCTTCTCAGACATGCTTTCATAAAGACACAATACAAAACTTGAATGAAAATAAATATACTTTGTCATTTGGTTATTGATAAAAGTCGACCCATTGATTTGTAATTTGCCCTGTAGGCTTACTAAGCGGCTGAATCAGCTCACCAGATAGGCCTACCAGTAATACCGTCCTAAAATTGACTCGCAATATAGTCTAATACAGATAGTTTTTAAACTTAAACTATTTCACGTTGTCTTTCTTGTCAAAAACGATTTTGAAAAATATATTTGAAACATGCATTTATACCTGACACATCACGACATGTTTGTGTTCCAGAGTGTCCTCGTTAGCCAAATAATCTGCACAGTCGTGTGCAGTATGTTGGAATCTGTTAAAACTAGATGAGCTTGCATCTAAGGTGTAATTCCTATTCTTTCCAGATGAGGGAAACTTGGTTTCTGTTGGGCAGTCCTGGAGATTTAGAAAAAAATTTTTTAACAGAATTCCACAGAATTCTGTCAATAAACTAAACAAAACAGATAGACCTAATGTAGTTCTGTAGCATATCACTTCATCAAGATAGTCAAGAAATGATGCTAATTTAATTGAGAAACGGTCAATTTTGCATTGTATGCATTATGTTTGATTTCCTATTCCTAGCAGACAACCTGGAGAGCAGTGAGCAACATTATCACACTAACTGTGCCTTCACTGTAACTGTACCATAATGAGCGATCGACCTCTCCTCTTATTTCTCCTCCATCCAAGGTTGCTGTGGTGACCCAACCTGATGTTTTCCATGTGTCTCGATCCCTTTAAGACCTGTAGTGAACTGGCCAAGAGAGAGGGGATAGTGTCACTGCACCTTGTTACGGTTGGGACGACTGTTAACTTTTACTGCTGACATTTTGCAAGCTTATAAACGATACTTTCTTAACTTCCACAGGAAACACAGAGAACATGCTGTGATAATGCTAGCCTCTGGAATTCAGTCAATACCCTATAGTCTGGGAGCATTACAAGCCACAAAGGTATCGATTACATGAGTCCTATAGCATGTCTGATGCTAAGGATGGACGTGTAAAAAAAGGCCTTACCAGTTAGTGAGTCCCTTGGTCTGGGTTGTAATCGAAACTTCATGTGACACTATTCTATTAGCCCATGGTCTGCTCGGTCTGGCCTCTCATGGCGCGCGGATCATAATATGCGCTTCAGCTCAGTTCGCAGGTGTGAGTTTGTGCCCACAATGCACCAAAAAACAAACAAATGTAAACATATGGAGGCATTGTAAAGCATACTGGAAAATATATTAGAGACAATAGTAATAGAATAATAGGCATTAGAATGAAAATACGTTGATTCAAATCAAAATGGAGTTGGCAAATGTTGGGGGAATTGACAGTGTACGAAAATGGACGGTATGAAAATGTGGATGGAGTGAAACAATTCTGAAATATTATGTTTTAATGAAAAAAATAAACAAGACTTAGTAAATGTGTTTGTAAATCAAACGTCATAGAAATATATAATGTGTATCCCATCACAATATTCTTTGCAATTGCACTTCACGCATGAGCCTATACCTGTGCTAATACATTTTGTCCACATCTTTAGCAGGTTTATAACAGAATATGTGTAAGTGATCTCTGATCTTGACCTAAAGAGTTCTTAGGTTCACAGATTGTTTAATGGAGAAATAAGGAAACGTATTCAACTGATACATGTTGTCAGAACTAACAACTTTTTGGGTGGATAAGATTCCAATTGTGCTCTGATCAAAATATATAGGCTACACTGCATGCTATGTTGCCAAGTGTCACTCATAAACTATTGTAAACACAATTAACATTAGTGGAAGTGCCTATTGGAAGTCCATCCAAAAGCACAAGCTCACCTCATTCCATGGTTTAAATAGTCACTCCATCTTTTCTATTTAGCCTACCAATGCATCATGTTGGATAAACGTTTTCCCTCAGTCACTTCCCCCTATGTAAAATACCCAGAGGTTGAATTGAGCGAACCGGATGGTGCTGATGTGTAGCAGCCTATCCACAGTCAGGACGGCCAATGAAATCAAACCAGAGCTCCATCGTAACTGGTAAGATTGACGTGAGGGACGCGTCAAATTAATCCCAGCAAACTTCAGCCTCCGGTATAACTCAAATGTGCCTTTATTGGATGAAGATCACTTCAGTGCCATTGTACCAAGTAGTTTCTCTCAAAGCACTGTGACAGAACAAGGAAAAGAACATCGGGAGGAGACATTTTAGAAGTCCCATTTGTTCTTCAACTTTTTGCTTCCTTCGTGCAGAAGGGAGAACCACCGCATTCAGCCATTGAGGGGCAACTATTTCAAAGCATCTCGAACCACAGGCAAATGGGTAAGCTTGCGTTAACATCTGCACGCTTCAGTGAAAGAAAGCTTATGGAAGCATAACCGTGCTTAACACGCCTGCATAACGCCAGAAATAACCATAAAGTTGATTTCGGGATGTAGATAAAGTGGACAGACACATCCCTTTCCAGAACGAATGGAAAGATAGTTTACAAGACAGGCATGTGATCTTTTCCGATATGCCAATGTAAACTATTCATAATCTGGGAGTTCATTTCAATGGTTGATTAAATGGATAGTTAATGTAAAGGTCATGAAATTAATTGACATAAAACTTAAAAAGTGTCAAAAGTGTCACTAAGATCCAGGGTAAGTTAAATGTAGCTTCCTGATGTGAATAGTAATAACAACTTGCATTAGCACTCATTGTCCACGGTTAAATTTACTGTGTGTATGGAGAGCATGAAAATAGTTTTGTCTGCTTTTCATGATAGTTGAATATGTCCATGTATATTCATTCCCTGCAGAGCAAACCTATGGCGAGGTGAATCAGTTGGGTGGTGTATTCGTTAATGGACGACCCCTGCCCAACGCCATACGACTGCGGATAGTGGAGTTGGCCCAGCTCGGGATCAGACCCTGCGATATCAGTAGGCAACTTCGCGTCTCCCACGGCTGTGTGAGCAAGATACTAGCACGATACAATGAAACGGGTTCCATTTTACCCGGTGCCATCGGGGGGAGCAAACCACGCGTTACCACACCGAATGTGGTGAAGAACATAAGGGATTACAAACTAGGTGACCCGGGGATCTTTGCCTGGGAGATCCGGGACAGGCTTCTCGCTGACGGAGTTTGTGACAAATACAACGTGCCCTCAGTAAGCTCCATCAGCCGGATTTTACGGAACAAGATTGGAAATCTTTCCCAGCCGAACCAGTATGAGAGCAGCAAGCAAGCCCCCACACAGGCCGGCCTCTCTTACAACCACATATACCCCTATTCATACCCCAACGCTATGTCACCCAATGGCAAAATGGGCAGCGGTCCCGGAGTACCCGTGACGGCCGGGCATGTAAGCATATCAAGAGCCTGGCCGTCAGCGCACACTGTCACCAACATTCTGGGTATCAGGGCCTTCATGGATCATCAAGGTGTGTAATATTGAATCAATTTTCCAGACAAATGATTGCGTGTTGATCTATATGGCACCATGCACACCCAGTTATAACCCATTTTCCAATAATTGTCCAAGTACATTTGGGGTCACTGGTTCAAGCTATTTGACGTGCTGTTCAGTTCATAACTCATTCCATGATGAATGATCTATACATCCAGTTTTGACGTTAGTTCATCAGGGTGGAAATTTGCCCTATACACCTTTTTAGGCCTGGGTTTGGTGCCTCACAAGGAAAACAACTTACTCTGTAGGCCTACTCACTCGTGCCTGTAGGCAAACACCTTGCTTAGACAAGGATACTTGTTAAAGCCTCCTCGTTCCCCGTGGGACCTAAGGTCAATATAAGGTCCTACTTGTCATGTTCTTAGTGATGTGTTGCCTCTAGGCCCCAGATGGATTGTTAGCCATGGCATGGCTGCAGCTCTGCCATCAAATAAACTAATTAAGTTAGCAAGTAGCCTAGCATGTAGCCAATTTTGAAAGGGCATAATTGTGGCACATGCTTTTAGAACGATGCGATATAATAATCGATCCATTCTATGTGGCATTGACAATTTATACTTAATATAAACGTGTGATAGCGTCGTTGCATTTCTCCCCTTTCCTATAGATTACTGACGAACCCTATATAAAGTTCTGGATTCAGAAACAAAAACAACAGGCCTTGATTGGATACGCACAATTTGGCACACTATTCCTCTCTTTAAAACGTATTGTTTTGATAGCATTTTAAGAAATATTGCCGATATAATGTGCAATATTAAGTGGAAAATGTCATTTAGATCCCATTTAATATTTTAGCGTCCCTAAGGCTAGGCTACTGTGTTTATATTGGATTATTTGATAGGCCTGGTTATGAATAGGCCTATCTGATCAACAATAGATCAGAGACATTTGGACAGTTTCCCCCCAATAATCTGATATTAAAAGTGCAATTTGCTGTTTCCTAATCAGCTATTGCTGGAGCAGAGGGATATCCACAGAAAATGGAGGACTGGAGTAGTGTCAACAGAGCGACGTTTCCCTCTGCTCATACAGTGAACGGAATTGACAAATCAGCCATTGATGCGGACATAAAATATGCACAGGTAAAAACAACAAGGACTCCTATGAATGCAGAAGACTAGCTGCGGCCTGTATCTACAGAGAGACTGGGCTCTAAGTGTAATACAGTGTGTATTGAAAGGAATTAATCTGTTTAATAAAAGATTGTTATTCTCAAGTTGTTTCAATTTTCCCCCCAAAATTGCAACATTTGCTCCAGCATTTTTTAAAGCAGATTAATATAAATTGGGTTGAATGGATATACAGGCCTACACACTTAGGCTATGTCATAGATGTGCAAATGTTTTCGTTCTGGGAAACCTAAATCTGACATATTCTGTGTTTGTGTGTATTTTCTTGCAGCCTTCATCAACATTATCCAGTTATGTGCCAGCGTGTGCCTACTCATCTTCAAACCAGTACAGCGTTTATAGTGGGCCAGGTAGCTATGTGACCCCTGGACACCACTGGCAGTCCCAGAACTCGAGTTTGTCCCTCCCAAGCAGCGGCATGACGATGCACGCAGGAGACATACACTCTTCAATGGCGTTCAAACATCCATCGCGAGAAGGTAGGCAAGAAACTGTTTGATAGTGTTCCATTCTGATCAAAACTGCGATAACGTAATTTTAGCGTAATTTGAACATCACTGGCAGCTGACTCGTTTCCCTTCAATTTTCCTTAATCTACAGAAAAAATAAATCGTTAATTTAAATTAAATGACAGGGTGTAAAATACAAATTATGTTAATATTGTCTTATTTTAAATGTCTTTATATAGCCTATTCACACAACACACACACACACACACACACACACACACACACACACACACACACACACACACACACACACACACACACACACACTTATTAGGCTACCATTAATCTAGCAGCAGTTGTTTAATTGTGGAAATTAAATTATGTTACTGTCAAGCCCCACAATAATTATCATGGAGTACGAATAATGGGGGACACAAATCTAGGGTATTAGTGCAAAAGCAATGTAGGCCTTCATTTGCAAGTGGTCTCGAAATTGTAGCAGCCTAAAATGTTGATGTAGCTTGCCTTAATGGCGTGGACCTATAGTGAATATATGTCGATGTCAGATAAATACGAACTATTTTAGGCTGAGATAGGCCTAAATAGGTGCTTGAACCAAGTGATCTCGGCTGAATGATCTCCGCCCTTATACAGGTATTCTAGCCATGCTTCGATTAAAACGTTTTCTTTTGGTATTTATATTTTAATTTCAAACTAAATGATAAAGTAAAAAAAGGTGTTCTAAAAAGTTTGTTATTAACCTACATTTACAGATGATATGGCGTTGACGAAAATTATGCCTATGCATGGATAGATTCGAGGATGAATGAGGTGTGAACCCGAGAAGACGGAATTTGAACGTTATATTGCAGCTTGCGATAAATGTTGTCAGTAAGTTCATGAAAAGTGTAGGCCTAAAATTTAAATGGCATGTGACGTTTAAAAAAGGAAAATAATAATTGCGTCAAATAATGTATGGATAATTTAAATATGGTGTCAAATGAATAGCCTTATAGCCTAACATTGACTATTATTAATATTATTATTATTATTATTATTATTATTATTATTATTATTATTATTATTATTAACCTATTTTGTATTTAAATGTTGCATGCATGGTGTAGTCTTACTTTCAGGACTGTAGGCTATAGGCCTAAGAGAATATATATATATATATTTGTATAAATATTGCCATTCTTTCTGTGTTTTGCTGAAGTAAAGAGTAATGTGTGCTTGTGTGCTATACAAACGTCTCCTGTTTGTGTTCTGCAGGAGACAGAAAGCCCACCAGTCCACTAAGCAAGCAGCAGCAGCACGAGGCGTTGAGCAGTGTACACGGACTCAATCTCCCTACCTCGTCCTCGTAAGCCAGGGAGCTCGTGCCCCAAACCGAGGACTCAGAACTCACAATAGGCCTAGGTAACGAGCTGCAGACCCTGCCTTACCTAATTGAATGCATTTCAAGAATTCAAACAGTAAGTGGAAGCACTATTTATGATTTGTTGCCTAAGTGTTAAATATTGAATGGGCCCTTATAGCCTAACGTATATGCATACAAATGTATCCAACCATAGATGACCTACAGTCGGTCTATGGCCTTGTGAATGTAAACTTATGAGGACTTATGTCCTCATGCAGTGGAGGTGGTGGTTGGTGGTTTGTCATCTGTTCATTTAAATAACCTACTTCATGTATATTTCTGTAAAATACAGGATTTAAATCCAATAATGTCTGTCATTGATGTTTCATTAAACAAGATTGCTATAGTCTAAATAAGGGGTAGCATTGACAGCTGAACTGTATCCTGTATATGCAAAACATTATATTTTCTTGATTGGTTTCAAATCTGGTTTCTGCATGCAAACTCAACGATGTGAACAAAGTGATAAATTGTAAATGTAAAATAACTGCAAAAGCTTTAATTATATATTTTTTATAAATCCATTGTAAATATTCTAAATAAAGGCATTATAAAAAATAACTGCTCCCGTCATGATGAATATACTAAACAAATACTGCACAACATTTCTAAGTCACATGTGTTTGGTATTTTTTATTTAATTTTTTTATTTAACCTTTATTTAACTAGGCAAGTCAGTTAAGAATCATGCTGTGCCAACGTGTGGGTGCTAATCATTTTCCCCTCATGGGCGCCTTGCTTCTGTGTTAATGGAGCTTACTGCATTCGGCGCCCCAGTGATGGTATCTTGGCTCCTTCTGGATATTTGCCATAAGGCAAATCAAATAACCAATCAAGTGCATGTTATTTTGCAATAGAGGCTGGGATTACACACACACATACACACACGCGCACGCGCGCACACACACACATTCACGCGCACACACTTTAGGGTTGATGTGATCATTGGTACACTGCATTGAATTACATTACCTACATACATTGGGAATGTACTTTGCAAATTGTGGAATAACAGCGAAATTCTATAGCCTAGATTTGGGCCAGTCTTTGCTTATATGTTGGTTGCATGGTGTTCAGTATGACATTTTCATTAGAGATACTGTGCTTTCAGCACCTGCCCTCCAAAGGCCTGTGCACGGACATTTGCAGATTATTGACCATGTCCACACGACTAGGACGGCTGTCTCTGAAGGATTTGCATCCTCTAAAACTAACAATCAGCATATTGATTACGTCCACAAAAGTATTTATAATTCCAGGCCCAACACCACATCCAAAAGTCAGTGCGTCTCATTCGAGCCAACTATTGACTAACACGGTGTGCGTGCCATAGGCTACATCCATCCCATAAACTGTACATTCCTATTCACAAAGTAAAACGTACATCGTAATTAGCCTACATAGTCTGTATTTGTCATGCATCTCGAATTCTAACAACGGCAAGTCCATTTAAAACTAAATGCAAACCTTTTCTAGACTATAAAGGGCTGTAATTTGAGGAGACAAGATGCTTTGACCAACAATCAAAACGGAACAGGTCTATAATTTGGGAAATTGTTTATGTTAAATGTTGCAAAACAATATGCATAAACGTTAAGTCGTACAGTGAAACATATATTTTATGAGGACGCTCATGATTCGGTCATCCTAATCCGTCAGTTAGGCTATTACTGTTATTATGGTTTGGCCAAAACAATATTGGTGTAGCGCTCTGTAATAATGTACTTTAAAAACGGAATAAAGAACATGCATGATACATGTAATAAAAATATATCAAAGACATAACGATTTCACAGAATTTATTCCAGCTATCGAATTCAAGCAACATCGGGAAAGTAGCTGTTCCATAAGAAATTGAATATTTTTGCAACAATAGTAAACTCAATCTCTTTACAAATCATGCAACTTCAGAGTCCATACAAATATGGGGTATTGGGTTTACTGAGTTTCTCTCTCGGATTTTACACATTCAAAAACGTACACGGCGCTGCCACAAGTGAAAAAGGGAGGAAACCCATGTCTTGAAAACCAGTTTAAATGAGTGTCGTTTGATTTTAAATGGTTTGTCAAAATACTTCTTTCCAGAGCTTAGTTGAGGAAATGACTTCAGATAAGAAATAATTGTACAGTGCCGACTTTTACAGGGCCCAGACTACAGTCCAGAAATAGACAGGGATCACCATTAGGCCTAATCCACCTGACCAGCGGTCTCCTGCATCCATTGACACAGTTTCCAGTTAAGCAAATCAACCCCAAAGAACTATCAATGAGAGAGGACCAATCAATGACCAAGTGTGTTGCTGAGGTGAAAATGCATTTCCATGTGTATTTCCATGTTTGTCTAATCAAGAACAATTGACAATTGTTAATTCTGACAACCAATGCCATCACAATTCTGTGGTGTATGTGTGTGTGTGTGTGAGAGAGAGAGAGAGAGAGAGAGGGGGGGGGGGGGGGGGGAGTGAGAGGGAGAGAGAGAGACAGAGACAGAGACAGAGTTAGAGACAGAGAGACAAAACATTGACTTAGTCAAGTACATCTAACGTTGATATTTCATTTTTGTATTCTTCAAAGTGTTGAACAAGTTCCATACAAATCATCTTTCTCTCTTAAAATTCTCTTAATGTTAGGTGAACACTGTAAGTGACATTCAGCTGCTTTTCAGTGCCAGAAAGCACATCTACCAACTTCTGCTGCTTCAATGTAAGACTTCTGTTTAGGTTTTTACCTTTTACTGTAATAGGGTTGCAGCAAATTTAAAGTGAGTGTTACCATTATTCCTCTGATTTCATTATGAGGAATTCCATCTCAAATCTAGTCTCTTGCCCATAAGATTTAAATCAGACCATGGTTTATCTTAGTTCTAAGACTGTTCACAGGCTTCTGAAACCCCATTTTCTATTGTACGAAAACATAGTTTAGTTGTTAAAAAAATCTACGAATATCACAAACTTAGACTCTCAAATCCAAAGGTGAAGCATCAACTACTTATACATTCATATAGCAGAGGATTGATAATTCCCCATCTACAGGCTGTTGACCAAGTATCTGGAAAGACTCTCTAAGCTCTGTTTTATAAGGGTTAATTCCTTACTCCTATCCTGCGAAGCCCCCAGTGACTCAACATATCCAAACATTAAGATGGCCCCCCAGTACAAATGCCTCCTGACTGGAGTCGCTCTTGTTTTCCTGGATACCGCTTGGGGTTCAGAAAACACTCCCTCGTGGTGGCTGGGTTACTTCCTGCGGGACCTGTGGTCATCAATCAGTGACCGGAGTGATGCCCCCCCACCACGCCACTCTCTGGACATCTGTACCACCAGAGCAACAGGTGGGAGGCTTTCTGCTGGTAATTTCTCAGCCCAGAAATATAGCCCATGAACATGTGGAATATGTATATTTTGACCAAGCTATATGAACATATACCTCTTTGGGTATTTTATATCTGATTTACAGTTGGTTCTATTTTATTATATATAGCCTTCTATTTTCAAACAAGTTATTGTACATTTAGGGGACTTTCTAGTGCAAAGGCAGAGAGTTTGAAAAAAATAAAACAGAAATGTAGGCAGCAGATGCACCAAAACATACCCTCTCTTTGAACCTAAAGAGCCTAAGTGTACACTATTCTGCTACTTAATGTTGTAAAGACACTCTAGTATGACAAGCTTTAAAAGACAAAAGTCAGTACGCAGGGGAGACTCAAAATCCTTGATACTAATGGGTCTGAAATTAGGCCATGTGCGTAATCCAAGCAACGGCACTCACTTCTGTGAATAGAATAATCCATCAGTGTCTTGTGTGTGTATAGGACATATTGAGGTTGCTTTGTACAGACAAGAGCTCAATGTATGCACTTGACACTCATCTGGGTATGATTTAGGACTTCTACATTATCATTATGTTTTGAAGGGGGAAACTACCCTGGGCAGGCCAAAAGACGCTTACACAGTGTACAGTACCTTTGTGTGACTACCATTCAACAAGACAGAGAGCATCTCAGGACGAATGACAGAAAACCAGACAGAGATAGCTCCTGGAAAAGGGCAGAGAATGATACATGAGAAACCTTCTGTGGAGAGTGGCAATTTGGCATCTCTAAAAAGTCGCTCAATGTCAAATTTGTGATGTCTTTGACCTAAAATTAATTATCATGGATATTGGCATGGAAACTAGTAGCAAACTACAATTAAAATATGAGCTGAAGTGACAGGATATGTGTTTGTTGGCAGAGGTTTATCTCAAAGGCTGATTTTCCTGTCTCTTGAGGCAGTGTCAAATAGTTTGCTGTCTAGATGTCCATACATCCTATTTTCTGTGTGGCAGACATGCAGAACATAATGTACAGAACTTAATGAGACTACAAAAACATAGCCGTTTGTAAACTCAAACTAAATTCATGAAAATGAGAAAAGTCATGCATGAGGTATTATTTTCACCCCTCCCCAACCCTGTGAAATAAGTACAAAATCTCCTTGTATTCCTTGTAATGCAACCATCATTGACTTATTTTCCGCTGTCTGTCTGTGCTGTCTTTCCTGTCCACATGATTTCCAAACAGGCAGTGGCAGCACTGGAGGCTGTAGTCCAGAGAGAAGATGATAAATGTCTTCCTCCCATGTTCTGACTTGCTCTGCCAGCTCACCACATCAACCAACCAGGCGCTCCGAAAGCAAAGGGACAGAGACATGATGATGACATTTGGCTCTTCAAATGAAAACGTATCATTTCACAGTTGCTTTGGACTGGCTCTCTGGGGGATTCCGGGGCTGTTTTGGTCCGCAGAACGAGGCAGCAGCAAAGGGAACGTAGAAATAAGAGCAATAACCACAGGATCTCTTTGAAATGCCGAGCCTCAGCTCTGATTATTACATACAGAAGACTAAAGCAGCATGAAATTATGTTTGCATAAACAATTAAAATAGTTCCCTTTTTAGGACACTGCAGAGAATCGTTTTGCAAACCAGAATTACGCTTGCCATTCCTGTGCTGTATTAGTGTTGGGTATGCAAATATAGCAACAGACTGTCTTGTGTCATGCATCCAAAGGGAGACACAGAACATCACTAAAGAATATGCATGCCTCCTGAGGGAAAATATAGACTTTAGTGATTGTGTCAGCAGTTTTGAATGTCATAAATGTACAGTATATGTGCTGTGAGAGGAGCTCTCTGGGCAGAAGATGAGAGACACTGACGGGGTCCAGCATGATTCCCTGTAATTTGTGGAGACTATAGAATTAATGTTCTGCCCTGCTGCCCATCTGTGACTTATTTAACTGTGCTGAAATACAGTATATACTTTGCTTAATGCTGCCACATACATGTCAAGCGTTACCAGCGAGCTGTGTGGCATCAGATTTAAAGGCTGCTGTCAACTTAATTTTTGGCTCAAATTCTTATGAGGTGATAATAGGAAGATGACTCTACTCACAAAAATGCATGAGTGGTTAGCCACTGTACTGTCTGTCGGTTTGGGCAGGGAAATGTATTTGCATGTGAACCACGTTTGCTATATCTACAGAAATGAAACATTATTAAGTGCAT